CGCGATTTGAAATCTTGAACGCTTTCGATACTGAAAATATTTTTGCCAAAAGAGATCAACTCTCCTTGCCGGAGGATTTATTGCTAAAATCAAGCTCGGAAATTATCTAATTAAGATCACGAGATGATCTTATTAAAATCAAGTTCGGGGGTCATTTATTTCGCTCGTGAGATGAGATTTCGGTATTTTTGTAGGGTTATTACGACACGATGGACGCGGGATACATCGACGGGTTCGGCTATGTTTACGTCACAGCGAGAGACGACGATATTATAAATGTAGCCGGCCACAGAATATCCACGTCTGCGATAGAAGATATTATTTTAGCTCATGCCGACGTGGTGGATGCTGCAGTTGTCGGTGTACCCGATCATATGAAAGGAGAAGTACCGCTGTGCCTTTACGTTAGACGAGAAGGTACGTTCGTAAGAAGTATAAAAGTATCAGTAGCCGGACATTTAAACGTTGTCATAAATAATACAATTTATAATATCAGAAAGATTTTTAATATAAATATTTGTATTCATTTGAAAACTCAAAACTCCCTTAAGCAAGGAAGAATTATTTCAACTCACTTGTAACAATTATTAATTAAAATATTTAAATAAATTACAGAATGCGTCGATATACCAGTGGCCAGATATTGGGACGTAATTGTTTCATTGGCTACGTTTACATCGTACATTTAGTCCGCGGCCTATACAGGTGTCTTTGTTTAACCTACAGGATAAACAAGGACACTTATTGTATAGGCCGCGACCTAAATGCACAATGTAAACGTAGCCAGTGTCCAACCACAATTGGAAAATTTGTAAACTGACAAGAAATATTAATTAATATAAATAGATGTTTAATGACAAAAGACAACTAATTCAAATTTTTTTTAAGGTAAAAAGCATTTGAGATTAATATTAATTTAAATAAATAAATAAAATTTTGTGTAACTGTCCGAACATAGGTATTGTCCTATTCCAATGACTAAATATGTAGCACGTATCTATGTCCGGACATTTACATAACACTTTATTTATTTAAGTTAATAATGATCTCAAATACGCTTTTTAAAACATAATATTATAATTTAATTGTAATTTTTAAATGCAATTAAATTATAATACAATAATAAAAAAAGCATTTGAGATTAATAGAATAATAAATTGTGTGTAACGTCTAGATATAGATATATGTCTGGACACTTCTCTGATATTTACCTTAATGCATTTGGAAGAGATTCCTCAAAAAAGCGCTATTATTTTAACGTTTATATTCAGCAAATTTTTTACTTACTGTAAATAAATACAGATAGAATGGTTTTGCTGAAGTATATAAAAATTAAGCGAAGCACAGAGCTAAGAATAATTATATTAAACCATCTAAATAATTATATTAAAGCTGATTAATAGAATATAAAAGTTTTTGCAGATTATCATTATGATTGAGCGTAGAAAAAAGGAAAAAATTATAAAATAACTCAGTTTTACTGAAATAATTTAGTAGATATTCATATGACATAATTACTTTAGTAATTTGAGTTATTTTTAAAATGATATCAATTATATGAGGATCAAAGGACCACATAAAGGAAAAAGAGAAAGAAGATATTATACAATAAGTAAAAATTTAATATGTAATAAATGCAATTTAGAAAAAATTGTAAAAAGAAAAAAGTTGAAGTTATGGGATAGAAGGGAGAATATGAAATATCATCAACTAATATATAGTATAATTTTATACTTTGAATATATAAATACATTTGGTTATCAAATTTAGTTCGATTATATTATTTGAAAGCCACATTCAAGATCTCTAAGCTGGATTTATATGCTATCTGCACACTTGAAATGCAGCTTTTACGACAACGCAAGTAAAACCTTACGATAGTAGCCATCTTATAACGTCTAAGCAGACTGTAAAAAAGTTATATCTTGATGGTCGCCTCTCCAGAATGTATCGCTACCAGACATTCCATAACCATCTCCTTTCCTTTGTACATAATTATTTAGATGATTCAACATATAATTATATTTTCAAATCTGTGTAGCTAAATAGATATTTCAAAAAATTTTTCCGTAATAAATTTCAATTTAACTCAATATTGAAATAGTAATTTCAATCAAATCCTGATGTCGTATTTAATAATTTTCTTTAATATAGACATTCATTTCTTATTGATTTAGAATTATTAATTTTTTATGGAAAGAAATATTGATTAGAGATAAATCATATAATTAGTAATTTTAACTGCGAGCAATTCTACTAGTTGTGAATTAATCATCTATATACATTATATATACGTTAAAGTTTAATCGAAGTCGTAACATCATATAACAATCGGAATATACTCCAATTAATTTATCAACATTCATATTATTTTAATGTAAAAGAATTATTAATTTTTTTATTATTTGACATACGAAAGAGAAAAGATAGAAATTAAGGATGATGAGTTTTACTCTCGATAATTCTTTTTAATTAATCTTCAATTAAATTGGGAATTTGGTCGCTCTAAATTAATAATAGCAGATCGAGTGAATTATTAATTAATAACAATCTGAATATTAATTTAAAACAGTAAGAAATAGAAACAATTTCGATTTAATTGAAGTTTCTCGTATTCAAATCGTACTCTTTTTTAACGAGATAATAAAAATTTACACTAAAAAAAAGTACTAAATTCTAATAAATCATTTGTTTGAATAGTACTAATTAAATATTTACTAAATACAAAGATATATTTATTTGATACAAGAACCGTTAATTTAACTATCATTTTTTTGTTGAGTAAATATTTATTTACTGCAAGTTATTTACTATGAAAATAAATATATTTACTTTAATAGTTATTTACTAAAATTTATTTATTAAAATATTATAAATATTTATTAAAAATGTAATACACTTTTTCTCAATGCAAAAAATATAATCGCAATAGAATTGAATTTTTTTATTATTTGACATACGAAAGAGGGAATGAAGATATAGAGATTAAAGATGATGAGTTTCGCTCTCAATAATTCTATTTAATTAATCCTCAATTAAATTGATGGGAATTTGGTCGAAGTCATCCTAAATTGATAATAGCAGATCGAGTATATGTGAATTATTAATAATTATTAATAATTATTAATATACAATAGGTTTAACAAAAGGATCATTCTTCTTCAGATGCGATAAGCAACGAGGAAGAGATAAATCAAGAGCTAGTTACGCGGGTGAGGAAGATGTTGGGACCGATCGCGTCTTTTCGCACCGCCGCCGCCATTACCGCGCTACCCAGAACGCGATCGGGGAAAACAATCCGAAAAGCGATCGCTACATTGGCGCGATCGAAGCAAGTCAAGGTAAGACCGTGTAAATTACACGACAGAAGCGCACTTACCACGCGCCGAACAGAATTGATAATGCGATATTTTTGAAGAGAATCTCCTTTTAAATTTGAAAAACTTACCCCATTCGCCGTTTCTCCTCCCGTCGTCATTACTTGAAGTCTTGACTTTTCAGCTTCCGAACACGATCGAGGATCCAACAGTATTCCGCGAGATCAAGGAGGTGCTCCAGAAGCTTGGCTACGCGAAACTAGCCCCGGATCCGCAATGACCGCCTTTTAAGTCAATGATTCCTCCGCGCGCGCAATATGAGAAAAAATGGGGGAAAAAAAGAGAAGAAACTTCCCGAAAACTAAGGATGTCACAATTCGAGCGCGGCACTTCGGCGATCTGTCTCTTTCCGATTACAGGATGTCCAACCTTGCTGCGATCGGAACTGAACAAGCGTGAACGCGGAAATGCGAGAGAGAGAAAGAGAAAGAATCGATGAATATCCGCATTTTTCTTTTCACTTGCATTTCCTACTTGAATCAAAACAGACGTATATTAAAAAATCCGCGTGAGCGGAAAGTAAAATAAAATTATTGTTTGTTGAGAAAAAAGTGCAATAAAAGTGTAATAAAAAAAAAGTTCCATCACCTTGAAGTTGTCCGTACTCGATATCGATCAATGATCGCTCTAGTAATGAGGAAGCGGGAATGTACAAAAACCATCAAACAATTCGAGTAAATAAAACTTTCATTTTTGCGCGTCAAGTGCGAGGAATCTGTATATCCAGTGTATTCGCAAATATCCTATAATATATGTATAAAATATTCCCTTAAGAAAATAGATTCCATTAAAAAAATATTCTTTTAAAAAAGAGAAGAAAATTTAGAAGAAAATTAAAAGCATTTTTGCCTGTATCTGTTCGTTATTGAACGATTTTAATGAGCTTCAACGAGTTTAGAGTAGCTATCAGTGTAAACTATTCTAATAAAATATTCTAGACGAAATAAAACACGCGCGGGGCGCGGGAAACATTTGTGCGCCTTCGAATATTTGCAAATTCGATTAACTACTTGATCCATTTGTTTTTATGGTTTGAAAAAATATACATAGGAAATCCGTCATACTGTAGGGATGTACAGTGACGTACATCCACATCCCTATTAAAATTATCAGGGCACACTTTTTTGCAAATTTGTTTTTAATGACAATATAATAAGAAACAGTATAATAATAATTGTAATATTAATTTTATAATTATAAATTGTTGTGTAACACTATTTTGTTGATTTATTCAATAAATTTCTTTTTCCAACTCTTACCACCACTTTAATAATAATTATTCAATAATAATTATAATATTAATCATATATTTCCTTAAATGTTAATTTCTGCAATCGATATCAATCTTACTCCCACTTCCGTGTATCGCACTTCAGAAGAATAAAAATATCGTGTTTTTTCTTGTTTTATTATCAAGGAGACTCAGTTATTATTTGATCATCATCCGTTTATAATTATTCCAATGCAAGTTGCCGTTGTTCAGTTTATCTAATAAAAGGAACACACGCTCTTGAGTTTGTTTCTTTCGATTGTGTAGGTCTCCTTATCTATATAATCGAATCTATTTGCTCTTGTATCAGGCTATAAATATTTTTTCCCCTTCTCCCCACGTGGACGCATGTATTGTTTGTATAGCTCTGCGGTACATAGTGTGTGAGTTGTGTGTAATATGTTACATTATTACTAATTCGCCCGGATTTCATCATGCCCGTTCGGTTTGCTTAATATCTCGTGTGCTCGCCTTGCATCGTCACATATTTGTCACATTGAAATAATGATCTTTTTTTTTCTTTATTATTAATCTGTCATAACACTTAAGCAAGTTTTTTTTCTTTTACTCGACGACTTTCAGCACCTTGCCAATTGCGATAGTTTTATCTGAAATTATACACATTTATCGTAAAAATTATCATAATCAGGGAACAAACAAAAGAAAAAACGAAAGTGACAGAGGAAAAAAGCTGAGTTATCATCAGTACTCACTTTCATCCCTAAGAGTAAAGCGGCCCATTTGTTGGAATAACTTGAATCTTTCGAGACATATAACTCCTGCGCACTCGATTCTCATTATAGCCACCTGATCTTGCTTGACAAACCTCGGCCTCGTTTTGCTTTTATCGCCCGTTTTCTTATCCACCAGACAGATCAGCGCCTTTACCGTGACTTCCTCAGCGGCGCAATGAATATGCATGACCGCACTATATCCCGCACAAATAATGCTCTTGTGTTCGAGAATTACTACCTGCGCGTCGAAGACTTTGCCGGTCTTGATAGGATTATTGCTGTCGCATAAGACAAATCCAGGACTAACGTCTTCCTCTTCGATACCTTTTAGTTTGATCTTGACATTTTCCCCAGGTCCGACAGACGTTACTTCTTCGTCGTCCGACCACAGTTGGTCCACCGTTACTGCCGTCTGCAAATTCAAAATATTCTATAAATATAAACGCACATTATCTTACTTAGGCTATAAAATATGAAGCATTAAAAATTACACACTAAAGAAAATATCACACTTTTTCTATATTAAATTGGAGCAAACCATTCAATTCAGTTACAGTTCAATTCTATATAAAACCATTTTTATTGTTAAAACAATAAAATTATTGTTTGATAGGCTTTCTGTATAGAAAAGTTTGTTAATCACTTTCTTAAGAAATTTTGGAAATTTTAGAAGGAAATTCAACAGAAATCAATTTTTTTATGCTAATGTAAAATATAATTTAGATTTACAATAATATATATTAATATAAGTTAATCCCAGAAACCAAAAATATATATAATTATATAAATATAAATTAATTTCAGAAACAAAAAATATATATAATTATAAATCAAAATTAAATCGATGATAAATCAGTTAATAGAAATAATTCTATTTTCGGTCAAAATGAATCTTAGTACTTAATAATACTAAATGCAAATTTTTGCAAACATATTTTATAAACTGCGCATCGATAAGATTTAAAACGCAAATTGAAGCTTTAATTAATTTCTTAAATTAGATTAATCGTCTATTTTAATAGTGAAGCTAATAAATAATTAAAATGAATAATCAATCTAATTTAAGATATTAATTTCAGTTTAGTTTGTCATTGCATTTTAAGTCTGACAAATCTTATCAGCGCGCAGATTATAAAATTGATATATAAAATAAGACTCAAAAGAATCTATCAGTGAAAAATGTAAAAAAGCCAATCAGAGCTTACATCAGCTGTGCACAGAAAATTCTTTATTTTCGTGTGAATGTAACAAAACGCATAAAATATACGAGAATTTCGAATTAATAATTAAAATTCTTTTAAACAATGGATATTCACTGAAACTCATATTCTCTGAAATGAAAAATAGGTTGTCAAAAAAATTTAAATAATGGAATGACCAGGGTAACACATCTACAGATAAGACAACGGACAATAATGAAGATAAAATTAATCACAAGTTTTTTACAATACCTTTTATACCACTTTTATCAGAAAAGATCAAAAAATTTTTTTAAAAAGATTCCTTAATACACATGGCATATAAAGGGATTAATAATCTTAAGGGGTTCATCAGGAGTCACAAAGACGTTCGTCTTAAGTTATCACACAGACGTTGTATATAAAATTGATTGTCGAGATTGTGAAGCATCATATGTTGACCAAACAGATAGATGTTTGAAGACACATAAAAGAACAGAGAAATCACATAAATTGAAATACTACACAGCATTCCATAAGAGAATATAGAATTAGTCATCAACATGATTTTGATTGGGAAAATATCAAGATATTAGATGAGGAAAACGTATTTAATAAAAGACTGATTTCGAAAGTGATCCATATAAAGCAACAGAAACAGAGTTTGAATTTACAGAATACGTATTCTTTAGATCCACTATATGTGAATTTGTTTATGGAATTGTAACATTGCTTTTACCTTCTTTTGTTCTTATTTTTATTTTTATTTCAATAACTACATGGCTTTATTATTTTGACTCTCATTGTATCTCTGACTGTCGACACCATAAGATCTTTATGTTGAGTCGCAAGAACATGCTTACATGTAAATTGGTTTAATTAAAATTCAGACAAATGATTTTAATAATTCTTTAATTTTTCGTTTTCATGTTTCCTTTGAATGACTACACAACAAATCTGACAATCTGATGAGCGATGTGATTCTACTTAGTGACGCAATATATATGACTTCGGTTTTACTTTATGTAAGTTTTTATTGTATAAAATTATTGTATAAGTGTTAATATTTTTGATAACCATTGGGCTATTCATTACATAGCTAATTTGGCATTTAGATAAAGATGAATGAACTAAATTATCGGGAATCATTAACTTAGAATTTGCATTATTTATGTAATTTCGATTTATATTTTATATTGAACCCAAATTGAAGGGTCGAAACGTATATTTTATTCGTTTTATTACATTCACATGAAAATAAAGAATTTTCTGTGTATCCGAACAGATGATGTAGGCTCTGATAGGCTTTTTTTTACATTTTTCACTTATAAAATTGAAATAATATATTTGCAAAAATTTACATTTAGTACTATTAAGATCCATTTTGACCAAAAGTAGGAAATTATTTCAATTTAAAAAAATACATACCCTATTTGGCATGACGAGCAATGACTGTCCCTTTTTAGCTTCTCCCGCTTCAACCTTGCCCATAACTACTGTCCCCATATCCTTATATTTGTCGACGATCGGCATAATAAAAGGTCCATTGCTTTTACGATTAAGCGAGGGTAGCGAATCGATGAAAGGTATAAATGGTGGGCCACTATACCAATTACAGAGATGTTCGGGTATTGGATCCTTTAAGCCGATACCGAGCTGACCAGAAACTGGCATGAACGTAAGATCTTTCGCAGGATTGAATCCTAGTTTACGGAGATATGGCAGTATCTTATCCCTGAAAGATATATTAACGTTTTTCTATTCATGTGAGTAGAGAACGCGCAATTTTATTATTATCAAAATGAATAAAAATATATTTAAAGGGGAATAAAACCGATCTTAATAATTTGTTTCCCTGTAATTCTGAAATTATTTCCAATTAGTTTTTAGAATGAAATCTTTCTAAACATATATTTGACAGAATCTCTACGTATCCTATTTCTAAATCTTGCATTCAATATATACCTGCATTCATTGTATCGACCCTCGTCCCACTCAACAGTAGGATCGTCCATCTTATTTACTAATACAACCAAATGCTTGACACCCGCGGTTTTAGCAAGCATAGCGTGCTCTCTCGTTTGACCCCCTCTGTCAAAGCCCGTCTCAAATTCGCCTTTCCTCGCGGAAATAACAAGGACTGCTAAATCGGCTTGCGCCGCGCCACCAATCATATTCGGTACAAAGCTTTTATGGCCGGGTGCGTCTAATATTGTAAAGTGCTTTCGTTCTGTCTCAAAGTAGGCTCTGCCTACTTCCACAGTTTTGCCCTTTTCTCTCTCTTCTTGATTTGTGTCCAGCGCCCAACTTAAGTACCATGTTTCTCGACTTCTTTCTTTCGCTTCCCGCTCGTATTTCTCTAAGGTACGTTTGTCCACCATCCCCGTAAGCGCCATGATCTGACCTCCAATAGTTGATTTCCCAGCATCTGTAAAACACCAGATATAATATCTAACAATGATAATTTTATTTTATTAAGAAATAATCAATAATTCTTCTATGAAGTTTCCTACTACATTTATATTCCAGTTATATTCTTCACAAATTTATATTACTACTTACCCACATGACCTATGAAAACAACATTAACATGTTCCTTTTTGCTTTTAGTATCTTCTGCAACTTTGACAGGTTTCTTTTTGGGTACTTTAACAACCAGTTCTTCGTCCTCGTCGTTATCAGCCTAGAAATAATATTAAATATGATAATAATAGAGTAAATACTTAAAAAATCCACCAAAAGTCAATGTAGTTTATTTAGGACACTATAATAAGAATATCGCTGCCCGAAGAACTTTACACATTTTCACATTATTATAATAACTTTTCACATTTTCATTTAAATTTATACTTACTTCTTCATTTTCTGGAGTAAGTAGAGGATCTCCATCAACTGCTGCTTCTTCCCAGGAATCTGCAGGTTGATGTTCCGGGCTGGTATTTAGTTGGTCATTGACGTTCGGCGGTGGAGCCCCTCCTCCAGCAGGAGGTTCCTCAACTCGACTGCCAATTGGATCTGCCAGAACAACGGGAGTAGAATTTCCTATAAAAAAAAATTCAAATCGAATCTATAGAATACTTCTAAAATAACAAAGAGATACTGTCTGAGACATCTCTAAGAGAAATTCCTTGATACAGATAACAGATTAAAAACGAATTTGATTAGATAATGCTACGCGCATATCAATCACCTTACATGAAACCTACTTTATCTCAATTTAAATATTAATTTTTGTATAATTTGATAACTTACATTATGAACATATAAACTTTACTAATTACTTAGTTAATTTTACTTTTTTTTATATCAAATATTTATGTTATAAATAATCTACAGATAAAAGTAAAAATATTTCTGAATCTTTCTAAAGTAACTATAAAAAATATTTTGCAAATGTGATATAAAAGTTCAAGCCGAGTTGCAATCTCTTTGTTACAAAGGTTAAAAAGGAAGCTATCAGTTTGATGTACATTTATCACCAACGCTGTACACAATATGTTCTTAAAAATATTTGTCCCAACTTTAGCAAGATATTCTATTAATTGTGTTAAAAAACAGACACAAACATAGATCAAACATAACAGATAATAAATTTTTTGTGTTATAAACACTAAAGATCCCAATATTAATAAAAAAAACTTTGAATCTTCAAACAAAGCATGTCAAATATGGCATGACTCAAATATAAAGCAACGAAATGTCATCAAGCAGAAACAATTGTAACGAAACATCCAGCAGCGATAAAGTACACAATGACAATTCCTTCCGCTGCGTCTTGTTTCTCATATTACAATTTGATCACAAGATCCCACATATCCAATTTCAATAATCATGTAACGACTAAACGTACTCAGCAATTAACATCAACATAAAAAGAAGAGTTGTAGTTTGACACAAAGGTCAGAATGGAGGAGCTACTCATATATAAATGAGACCATATGGTACTTAAAAGATCTACATCCGAATACAACCAGGACATCATGGGGATTGATCTCATGGAAACGTGACGATATACGAAGAAGTGTGCGTAACCTGCTACGCGTTCAATCGTCCCGTGGAGACGGGAATCCAGGAGAGAGGACAAGAAGTGTGTAACGACGAAGGGGGTTAGTGACAACAAGGGAGCCGCGTGCGTGGTGTGACAACACGCGACGGTGCGGTAAAAGCAGAGCGCAGGACAAAATCCGGAAATCAGCTGAAGCGACTAACCATGATGTATCTCGACGGGCACGGAGGTGGTGGTTACAGTATTCATTACGGCGGCGGAGGCGGTGGCGGACACGGCGGAGGAGGCGGTGGCGGCGACATTGCAGGGACTGCTGTCGGCCGTCGTGGTCGCGGTGACGTTGCTCTGCGGCGACGAGTTGATGCAGAAAGAAGGCACGAATTCCGCGGCGTTGACATTCAGGGTGGAGAACTTGCTCTCGATGGACTTGTCCTGCGACGTAGGCGGGCCGACGATGTCGCCGTTCGTGTCCGCCTGCTGTTCCCACGAGTCTGGTGCTATGCTGTTCGCCATATTAATCAGTTGTTTCGGCGCACAACACACTGCCGGCCCGCTAGGCTAAACGGATAATACGATTCTCTCGCGAGGGAGGGTGGGAAAGAAAGAGAAGTGTGAGAGTGTGAGAGAGAGAGAGAGAGAGAGAGAGAGAGAATGAGAGAGAGATCGGGACACGAGGAGTTGCACACGCCGCAACAAATCACTGCGCGTTTCGATTCTGATCCGATGATCCGCCGGAGGTTACCGGACTCGGACGGGTCTTAAAAAAATAGTTATTTTTTCAGCGCACTCTTTCGCGTACACACACCGCGTACACGCGCGTACGATCGCTACTCCGCGTGCGTACGTGCGTGCGTCCCCCGTGGTCTGCTTCGTTGCTGCTAATGATGATGGTGCTGCTAGTGGTGCTGCTACCGCCGCACTTCGACCGGAAGTACCGCAATCGAAAAATATCGCGAGAACTATCGTCGCGCCGCATGGCGGGCGGCAGCCGCGTGGCAGCCGTGAGCCAATCACGAGTGAGAGCGCTGGACAAATTTTACCTGTTTTACGCTGCTGGACAAGTCTATTTCGTTTGCACGTGGTCGAAAATATACGTTCACATTTATCTGCAATTTTTTTATCGGAATCAGCGTAAGAATGTATAATTGATTGTTGAATAAGAAATTTTTATCTTTATATTATAAATTATAAATTATATGCAAAAATAATAATATGTAATAATGTAGTAATATTATTGTATATTATATTATTTATATATATAATATATTATGTAACTATATATATACTTTACATAATCTTAGATATTATTTATTTTAATTACTAATTATTTTACCATTTTAATTAAATATTATTTATTTAACTATTAACTACTTATATTATATCAGATAAACTGTGTTTCAAAATGTGTTGAGAGTACTGAAAATATAGAATTAAGAATTGTTTTTTGCAGCTAAACTTTTGTACATTTCCTTTATTTTTTATATATTTTCCATTCTCTTTTTTTCTCCCACCCCTATTATTATATATTTATCTCATTTCAAGTATTCAAGTGCAGTTAGTATGACGTAGTACAGTCAAGTGTAGTTATAGAGAACAGATAACTGCAGATAACTGCTTTTGTCTTTTTTTGTATCTGTCAAATTCTGTGTTCAGCCGAGCACAACCGATCGTTTTGGAGTATTTCGACGTGGGACGATTTTCCTTGCTCGACATTAAACTAAATAAGTTGTCGAAATTATGGATTTGTTAGGATCTATTCTGAAATCCATGGATAAGCCGCCGTCGATAAACGAGAAGCAGAAGGCCCTCATGAAAAGTTAGTTGACTCCCAACCTAAGAATGCTCACTTTAGAAAAGAAAAAAAATAAACAAATGGTTTTGAGAATTACGTTAGCTAACTCATTTCGATTATGCAGAACAGCGGGAGGAATTTCAAAAGTGTCAAAAAGCGGAGGCAGAAAAGTTGAAGCTTATAAATACTCTTTGTAAATGCTCTTTTTATTTACAAAAAATGACACAATTTAAATGTCACTCTTGTAGAAAATATTAGTTGCTTTCCATTTTCACACAAGTGATATTGAGTTTAAAGTTTTGTATTTTATACTCAATTATAATGACGTTGCTACTTGCTTTGATGGCAAAGTTATCGTGTAACAACACAGTTTATTATCTCACTTTTAATATGAGTTAACAAGACTTACTCAATAAAGTACATAGCCTCGAGCTTGTGTAGATTATAAATAAAAATTCAGAATTTGAATCTTACTTGTCAGAATGAAAAGAAATGTGAATTCAACTGAGTTATGACATCATGAATGATGAGAATTATCTGAACTTTAATATAAATGGAAAGTAACTATTATGATCTTTTCAAAAATCTTAAAAACAACACAGATACTATTTGACAGATGGAATGAAGTTAAAAATTAATTAACTTTTGTTGATTGATATAGATTAATGTTTATATTTAATTTATTCATGGTAACAACTTAAAAATCATTTTTTTAATTGTGTTACTTTTGAAGTATAAAAAAATGATTTAATCATTTATCAGTAATTATAAATATATCATATAATTTATTATTAATGATATAGTTGCATCTTTCTATCTTTTGACTAGTCAGTTAATGTTACTTTTGTAGGTTGAAGAGAAGATTAATAAGTTTGTACAAGATGACAACGCAAAGGAATATAAATTTCCTGCCATGGATCAGATATACAGAAGTATTATGTAAGTATATTTCTTTGAAAATGTTTTACTGGAATGATTCTTGTTAGAAAGAAATGGTATAACACAATAATGATTATTTCATCTTTTTTTAACAAACATTGACAAACAACAAGTATGTAATGATCCATTGTATCATTTATGTCTCTTGCTGGAAAACACTCTGTAAATAATATGATTACATACATTTGTTATTTCCTGCAAGTATTGAAAATCTATAATTCATGCTGTAAGCTCTATAAATATTGGAGTCACCAAGGAATAGTCTCACAAGCAGTGTCTCAATTAGACATTGGTTGTGTTCAGTAGAGAAAGCATCTTTGCAACTGTTGTAAAATTTTTTAATATGATTTATATATTTAAATTCAGTAAGAAATTAAAGCAAGATCAATCGTATTAAAGAATTTTACGGCAGTTGTAAAACTGCTTTATCTGTTGAACACAGTCAATGACACTGTAATGCAAAAATTATACTGTTTATCAAGAATTCGCTGATTGGCTAATGTTATTTTATTATCATAAATAGAAGAGCCAGAAAGACAAGTATATATTTGCTATCCTTTTTAGGATGCAGTTTTCTATTAGTAGGTAAAGTATATGTTCCAATATATTATAGAGCTCACTAAAATTACATTACATATACTTTAGATTTTCAATACTCGCAGTGAGTAATGGAATATAAGCAGCCAATATAATGTTTTCTATCCTGGACTTCAGTCATGATGTAGCAGAAGTGGCGAATATCCTGGCATATTCCTTCGGCGAAGAAGGCGTTGATCGGTACATTATGATCTTCAAGAAGGAGCACGCGCCTTCGGAGGATCAGTTGAATACACTGCGCAAAGGTGAAGAGTGGAACGAAGAAGTTGCAAAAAGACTGAAAGAGGAGAGAGAAAGGAAGGCTAAAGAGGAATCCGAGTATGCAAAGTCTAGGAAACGAAAGGAGAATTTTGTGCCCAATAGCTACTACAAGGATAAATATCAGCATTTGATCGGCAAGGAGGCTGCATTGGAAGCAGCTAGAAAAACGGAAGCCAATAGTAGTTATGGATGTGGTGAGTATAACATAAATAAACACACAAGTCACTTAAGTTTTACTGCAGACACAAGTTATTCATTATGTTTTTGAGATTGTATAATAATGTTCATAGGTCTGTTTTTCAGCTGAATTGATTGCAAGGTTTCATATTTTTTCTTTTTTTCTCTCTACGTTAGAAAAAAAAGAAAAAAGAACAATGCAAGAAGTTCAGCTGAAAAGAAGAGGCCATGTTTACAGTAAAGATTACGAAACTTATTGCCATAAAGTCAGATGACTCTTGCTTACAATAGAATTGTCACTTTAAATTCCTGCAGTTCCCAGTGAAAACAAGAAGGATCAAAGAAGTATAGAACAAACTTTAGCCGATATACGCGCCAAGAAAAGAAGACTGGAAATGAACAATGAAACTAATAATTGCAGCGACAACAGTACAAAATAATGCTATTATATATAAATAATCATAGGCATATATAAATTATACACATATATCTATCTATCTATATATCGAATTAAATGTGTACATAATTCAATATATTATATATGTTACAACATTATTACAAATTACTGTATGATACGCATCGTTAAAGAAACCGTGCGATAGTCTGTGATTTGTTGAATTTCCCTTATACCGCGTCCATAGAGAGAACGACCATAATCCGCACATTTTATGATCAGATTGGGGGACTCAAGCACGTTATTTAGTGTTGCACGTATTGTCGTACCCTGGCTGCCTAAGGGTATGACAATAATGCGCTCGAGTCCCCCAATCTGATCATAAAATGTGTGAATCATGGTTTCCGTGGATGTGGTATACTTACTTGTCCATTAATCAAGTTCTACGAGGTATTAATAAGTTCTACGATGGCATTATAATTAATATTTACCCGCATTAGAAGTGCAACGAAGTACTTCTATATCGCTATATCCGTATTTATTACTTCAAAGAATCGGGTCTTCTATGTACAATATATTACATTATCTCGTGTGTGCATGCACGCGTGCATACACGTGCGAGTAAGCGTTCGTTACTGCAACATCTCTCTTCATCTATAAATTAAAAGCGACTTAATGTTCTCTATTTCAGTTTAGAGATATTCCGTGGTAGAGTATTTAGGAACTGAAGTTCTCGGAGCTGGCTTCGGCTTTGTAGGCGATGGAGACTCGAATACAATCTGTTCTTTCAAAGCGAGCAGCTTCGTGAATTTCTGGTTCGTTGCGGATTTGTACAGTTCTAGGCCCCGAGCGATAATGACATCTCGCACGTAAGCTGCATTGTTTTGTACTAATTTTCGCTAAAAAATTAAAATTTTATAAAGTTAGAATTTATTCATAATATAATAGAGCTATTTGTAATATAATATAGCCACAACATTCAACCTCTTGCTTCAATTTCGGATCCGTAAGCGAGACGATCAAGTGTTGAACTTCGACCCGCATCACGGACACAAGCACGCCGTCTATCGTAGATATAAGTTCGGGTGTAGCTATACTAAGACAGTCTTCTAACAGATTGACGTAGAGCTTGGAGAAAGTTATCGTATTGTACGTCAATGGTATCCAACAATCGTTCGTTTGTAACGATGGTACACCAATACCGAGATCTTCGAGCTCGGTTAATAGTTTTTGAAGATTCTGACTAGTTTCCATATTAGTCGGTCGCCAATTGTCCTCCGTCACGTGACGCTTTACTGCGTCGAGACAATTTTCACCTGCGTCTTTGATAGTTTTGGCTAACGGAGATCTAAGTTGGCCGTCTAATTGATAACGGAAGTCCATGCCAAGCTGAGTCAACTGAAAATCGAATTATATGCTGAAATCTGCACGTATAATATACAAAGAAGAGAATCCTTAAATATATTTAATATATATTTATTATTTAATATATTTAAATATATATTTAAATCCTTCTATTACTTTAGAGAGATAAAATCCATACAAGTAAATATATCTATTACTTTTGAAGATACAAAATTCAGATTAGAATGTGTACAAACCTGATCGCAATGACTTCGAACAGTGACAATACATTCTACCAATGTGCTTAGCGTGACCTTTGGCACAAACAACTGCTGAGATAAGTGCGACGTTAAATGTTTCACTTCCTGACTGCACCATACAACTAAGCCTTAAACGACAAGTAAATAAAATTAATTCATTATTCGATTATGGAACGTTTGCGGATCTTGATGCTAAATTACCAGAAGTGCAATTTGTAGATTTAGGAAAAGTTTTCAGAAATTCTCTCGCTATCTCAACTATATTGCTGAAGGCGATCGCACTAATCTGTTTCACATAGGCCACAATCGTGCCTTCTTCTTTGATCCTTTCCATTCGCGCCTTCAGCACCGCGCTGCATAATCGCAGATACAAGTGGCATGCTTGTGCGCTTCTGTTTAGCTGTATAAGGAGTTTTACCGCACGTCGAGCACTTCTCAGACCACCGCCTTGTAGCGATTTCGCTTCCGCGCTTAACTCCAATTCCTTAGTCAATACGTTCACCAGCGAGCAGCCTCTCTCGTTCACTTTCGTCTGAATCTCCGTCAATAGCGGTGTCGATTGAGCGTCCTTCAAATAAGTCTTCGCCTTCTCCAATAAGCCGTAAGCCTCCTCAAAGTGACGTTGTGCTATACAGGAATCTAGATCCTCGGCTACTTCCAGCACCCACTCCGGCAGCGGTTCGTAGTACTCCGAGTCATCGTCGTCTTCCATTCCTAGAGGTAATTTAAATGACTGTAAAAGTACCTGACGAAAAAAACTCAATAAAAAGGATTAATGTCTGTTTTTTTCAACACAGATTAATTCTAATCTCAGTTCAACTTGACTCACCGTTTTTTAATTCTTAGAATTAGAATAAGATGAAAAGTAAGTTGAACCAAGATTGAAGTTAATTTACATAGGATATAAAATGAATAAAAATAGGATATATATTAGGTGTTGGAATTAATTCGTAGCGTTTTTAATGAAAGAATGTTATTTATTTCACATGAGCATTAAAAAATACATTAATGAAAGTACTTCCCATCACTTGTAAAACGCTACGAATTAATTCCAACACCTAATAGTATATGAGTAACGAAGAATATATTTATGAAATGCAGAAATATTTTTATTTGCAAATTTTACCTAACGTATTCGACTCCAAAGACATCGAACGAGACGGCACCGCTTTGTCCTCCTTCGGATGCTTTTCCGGTGCGTTGACTGAATTCTCCTCCGCTAGCTTTGTTCTTTTCGCTTGCTCGCATTTATCTAACCACTCTTTCTACAAAGTAAGTAGATTCAAATAATATCCCTTCGTGATTTGCGGTCGTTGTTTTCAAACACACTAACTTTACTTGTCGCTGTGGCACACTGAAACACCCTCGTGTCGGAGAATGCCAGCAACTTGAACGCCAGCTTCACAGTGCCGTGATCCCTTACGTTGACGATCGCCAAGCTTTCTAAATTATAAACTGCTTGCATTTTGTACCTAGGCGGGCCGCGTCTGCCACCGTTTGCTAGCCAGGATGCAACCATTAGAACATCGTTGAATAAATATGCGTGAATTCTTTTTAATGGCGTACCGTCGATCGGATCTAACTCAAGCAGGGAACCTTCGTGTAAACACACGCGTCCTGGAGTCTCGGCTAGGCTCTGCAAAAAGAGAAACAGGAAAAGGAATAAAACATCAACTAAATCTAATAAATCTAAATATTTTTAGCTGAACTTTTTTTGTACTGTTAATCTTCTCTTTTTTTTTCCAACACGAAGAGAAAAAGAAAAAAGATGAACCATGCAAGAAGTTCTGCTGAAAAAAATCATTTCCTTACGGCTCCTTATATATTTCACTTGTTAAATACCAACCAAGGCGCCTTCCACATTTTCAATCAGTTGAATGAGTTTCTGTTTTTGCTCTTCCTCTTTAGACATAGAATCAGCCGAATTCTCCTGCTGTGACTCAAGCAAATCCTCGAAAACAACGCCAGTTGTTCTGGTAGAGCCTAGAGTACTTAACAAAGCACGCTGTTCGCTCAGAAGCTGAGACAACTGATACATCTCGCTCTCCAAATGTGAGATCTCTTTGGCAGTCTCGATAAACTGCATGTAATTCTGATAGACATTCCGTTTCAGTTGAGCAGATGTATTGTTTGCCAGTTCCTGGATTTTTGCGCGCTGCTTCCTCAATTCGTCTGCACCAATACATTGTGCACTCAGCTCCTTCACAACTGTAAGAACAAAAATATTTATACTAACAGATGTATACTAATGTTACTGTTTTTATGTGTTTCCTTATTATTTTCCAATTTCATATGTAATTAATAAATTACTATTTATGTTGGATTTGAGAGAGAGAGAGAGAGAGAGAGAGAGAGAGAGAGGGGGGGGATATAGCATAATTCTGAATATCTCATCAAGTATCAGAGATTGATAAAATACGATCCCATACTAATTTTTAAATATATTTTTATATTTATTTTCAATTCTATATATAATTAATTAGCAAATTAACTATTTATCGGATTAAAAAAAAGCGAAAGGATACAGTATAGATCTTGAACATCTTGTAAAGGATCAGAGATTGATAAATGTACGATTGATTTTAAATATATATTTTCATATGTATCTACTATATTTTGTATATTTTTATATTTGTCTCCAATTTCATAATTAATTAATAAATTAACTAAAAAGAGAGGCACAGTGTGGAACCTAAATATCTTATCAAATATTATAAATTGAAAACAAAGTACGATCAATCGCATAATTTTTTTTTAAATCGTCAATTTTTCATATTCTCGAACATGATATGCGTGCTCAATAACTCACATTTCTCTGGGTTAAAGTCCTCAGCTGCAAAAATCTTCGGCAGGTTATTATCGGCCATTGCGAGATCGTCGTCCGCGGACGAGTATTTTTACTATCGTCAACAATACAAATCGCGTGCCTCTGTCATGTTACGTTTCTGTTGAATCCCTTCGTCGTCACCTATTACAAATAAATTAACATGATTCGCGTCGGTTTACACCTCCGCCCCGATCTAACCTTGCTTGGTGTGTATCCCAATTCCCACATCCCACACCGCCGAAAGAATGACCGAGACGGTTGATAATGTCGAAATTCTTAGTTATCTTCTGGCATTTGATTATCGACTGCACTTAGGTTAGGTTTACCAATGTAGGTAAACAAAAGCCAAAAGTGGTTTATGTCTCCGCTAAAATATATATATTTATAAACTTTAAAGTACAATTTTGTTTATCTTTTTCTAATTTATATAATTAATAATTATGCCCGTCTCTACTAAAAACATAAATTAATGTTTAACTTTTTTTTCTTTTTTTCTAAGAATTTCTAAGAATTTAAGAAAAGAAATATAAGGATAAATTAAATTAAAATAAAAAAAACTTAATCTACAATTAAAAAGATATAAAGAATAAATTGAATCGAGATTAAAATGATATAATTTATTTATATTAGCATTACTTGAGGATCTTTATTACCGACAAATAGCGTCTTGTCGAACTTATCAAGTTACCAAGTGAGCGACTTTAAATGCAACATATCTTAAATGGCGCTATTGTGAGTCACTTCCATTTAACGTGACGTATATTAATTTTAATTTTATATATATTTATATATCTGATTGTGTGAGAAATTAGAGCCCAAAATGCAAAATATTTAATTCATACTCGAGACATATTTAATTTACATTTTTTACAACTATAAAAACGATATTTATAGATGAATTTTAGGTTAAACCGATCGATCTCTAGTAGCTTATAAAGACAAGTCGCAAGTACTCTTTCAGCTGGGAGTGTGGCGGCTCCTGTAATCCGGCTACTCGGAGGCTGGTTATGTCGGAGGGTCTGAGGTCGGGGGTACCTGCTGGTGCGGGGCTCACGTTGACTGGGCGTCCGCACTAAGCTCGCCATCAATATGGACACCCTGGAGGAGTCCGGGGTGGCCAGGTTAGCTAAGGAGAGGCGAACCGGGCCAGAGGGGAAACCCAGCAGCCAAAAGTCTCCGTGGCGGGCAGTAGTGGGATCGCGCCCGGGAGTGGGACCGCATTGACAGCCTGGTTGATATGATCCGACACATAACTTTTGCACTTTTTTTTTCAATTTTCCAACAATCCCCAAAACCTCCTCATGCACTTTCACCAAAAATCTGATTTTTTCAATATATTTTTTGATGTATTTTTTTAATACCACATAACTATACAACATTCCGATGTCTATGGAGAATTCAAAAGCAAAGTTCGAATTGATGCTCCTTTTCTTAAAGTATTGTCCATTTTTAGTCTTCGGGAATCATATTGATTATTGCATGTCTTTATTAAAAAATTAAAAATTAAAAAGAATAGAAAAATTAGGTCTGTTTTTTTTATTCCTGTGTACCGGACTGTACGAAAGAGAGAGAGAGGGGGGGAGGGAGGAGACTTTCTTTTTTGCTTTCACGAAATATCAAACGTATACCCATCTCATTTTAAGTTTCTATATCTATCACATTTTAAGTATTCTAAGGAGAGAGGAGTTAATATCTCAGTTCTTATGTTTACTGAATATATTTTAATATTTTTGTTATATATTAATTAAAAAATCAACTAGTGTGCTATATAGATATTTTTTGTATTAAATTAATAGAAAATATTATTAAAAATTAAATTGATTTTACATAATCTATAATTCACATTTCAGGATAGGAATCTATTCATAAAGTTACATGCCTATATTTTGACGCGTTTTTTAATACTTACGTATTTATAAGTCTTCAAAGATTTTTAATTTGTTGTATTAATTCAAAACTAATACTATATTTCGATGTATCTTTTAATTAATGTGTATGGATTTATGAGTCTTCAATCATTTTTGTGTATTAACAGTATAAGTAAAATTGAATCAAATTCTATCCCGAATTTTAACACAAATTATAGATCTATAATTAATCTGAAATAAAGCTTGGGCAATTATGATTATTCAAAATCACATCAATTATGGTAATGAGATGAGGACATAGGAAATTGCAAGGAGAAGAAGTATAACATGTGATACATATTTATGGAAAAACTTTTAATCCTATTATAACCACTGTTTTGTAATGAAGATGATAATGTTGTCATTGTGAGGATTCACTCCTGCGACAAGGAAATAATTTATAGTACATATATAAACACTTGAGTTGCATGTATATCAATTTTTTCCTGATACAGTAAACTTCGTTACCACAGTAAATTAATCTTCTTCTTATTTAATATAAATTTCTACGATTTCTGCTTTTCTTTCTTCGCCTGCTCCGCCAGTGCTTCTAATCGATCATGTTCCGCGATTAAAGCATTCACTTCATTCGCTGGCAATATTTTCGTTTTTGTTTTACCATCTTCACGTGTCAGTATTGCCATTTCCACTGTAAGTAAAAGAAGTGAACATACGTCAACTTTGTTACAAACTATCACAAAATGTGTCCTAATAAGAAATTTGATTCGACGCACTAATATTAAAACTATTGTTGTATACATTTTTATGTTAATACAGATTGATATAAAAATATATAATATAAATATAGAAATGGGTTAAAACTTCAATACATTTTATTCTATCATTAGGTAAAGTATATTTCACAATTCCAAATATTTATATTTCACTGCGTCCAATTGAATTTATTAAAAAAACTATGTTTACAATCTCATCAACTTATGTCCACTTTTATGAATGAAGAGTAACTTTAATCTAGTTTAATTTTCTATCTTCTTTAAAAAAAAGATATTAAATTAAATCAAAATTGAAATTAATCTACATTCGTAGAAATAGAGATTAAAATCAATTACTCTAATTTAGATTTAAATAAAAATTTACCCTTTTCAGCTGTGAGTTTATTCATGTCTAACGTTTTAGAGAGCACTTTGATAGCAAGTGCCATTGCGTCTTTCAGAGTTGTCTCGCCCTCTTTATATTCCTGTTTTAAAGACGACACAGCTGCTGCTGAATTATTCCCAATACATGTTGCTTTCCAGCCACCATAGTTTCCGCTAGGATCTGACTGATACAACTGATAGCCATAGTATTTGTCCCATCCCATGTATAAGATAGATACACCAAAGGGTCTCTTTCCACCATATTGAGTATATGCCTGTTTAACATCACATAACCACGAGACAAGCTGCTCGCAAGGTATAGCTTCGCCATACTGAAGAAGATATCTCTGCGCGATAAGGCGTAACTCATTCGTCAAGACATTCGCGTCCGAAGTTATACCAGCCACTGAACAAACTATATCGTCGTTCAACTTGTAGATTTTTTCGGAGAAGAATACCTCGTCCAGCAACTTATTGGTGTTACGTTTCTCAGCTGCCAGTAGAATACCGTCATTTGCTAATATACCTAGGCAAGTACCGGCATGGCTTATAGCCTCCATAGCATATTCGACTTGGTACAGTCTTCCTTCTGGCGAGAAAATTGTGGTACGTGTATCATATCTACGTGCCTGTAAAATATATGACAAGGTATAGCTAAAAAATATTGAGTCAATTGCGATGAACAGTTTAGAATTTTAAAATTTCTATCAAAATTTCTATTAAAGTTTCAATTTTTATTTTATCCCAAATATAAGCGAGTAATATGTGTAAACTAAAATCATTATATTCATCAAAAGAGTCACTTTTAAGTAAAAGAAAGTCTCTAATGTGTATATTCTTTTATATTTTACTGAGTATCAGAACTTTAAATCAAATAGATTGACTTGATTTCAACATTCTATGCATCAAATATGTGCCATATTAACAATAATTACACTTATGATCCGTTTATATTTTAAAATTATGATAAATGTTAGTCTTGATGACAATGCATTTCCCGCATAACCTAGAAGCAACAACAGTATCCAAGGTATTTCGAAGAGTTGACTTCAGAACTGAATAAATGTAATATTGAGTTGCAATGAGACTCGTCAACCTTACCATTTTGAAAGTAGTTTTATGTTATTAAAATGTCTATCAATCGTATCAAGGAAATGCCGCTCACAAGTTCAACAGTACACGACAACTGAATCTGACACTTCAACTCGAAGAATGATTAGCAGGTTAATCGGTACGATTGGTAGTTTTCGATTACTCGAAAGTCGCTATGAAAAATCGACAAGTATCGCTATGGTAAAAATCTTAAAATCGATAAATACCGCGATAATACAAAATAAACAATGCAATCATTTATTTTTCAAACATACAATTTTATCTCATTTTCTTCACTATTCATATTTTACAACTTATGAAAGTGGGCAAAGACTTCAAGATGCAAAGAGGATGGATTAAATATTTTTTACTTGTACATAATAATACTCTTCAATAATATGTACCATTAAAGTTTATTTTTTTATTAGATCCAACATGAATAGAAAATAAGATGCTTATAGAAGCTAACAAACATTCAGATTACTTAGAGATCCAAGATATATATGTAAGCCATCTATAAGGTAGATATTTTGTATAGTTATACAAATATTAATCAGTAACGTTGCAGTAATCGAACTAAAGATGCAACTTTCTTTTTCTTCATCATAATCTTAAATTTAACAGATATATATAATAGAGAGAAGCAACTTTATAATATTTTGGCTGTGATCGAGTTGGATGTTTAGCGCTTTTTCAGTACTTCTATATTTTATGTCTAATGAACAATAAAGACAAAATGATAATTACAAACGCTTAAAGCACATAAGCATCCAAATCGAGCGCAGCCCTTTATATAAACACCGATATAGATTTATATAAACATCTATACATGTTTGTTAACTGTTTTCTATTATATACAGGATGTTTTGGGCAATAGATGAGAAAAAAAAAGAAATAATTTTAGATGATAAAATAAGATGATAAAATCAAAAGAATAATTTTATGTCTTGATTAAATTATAAATGTTTAAATATTTACATAAGTGTCTGAAGTACGTATAAACAGACATGTATAATTAAAAGAAGTCTCCATCAAAATTCTGATATTTGTCATTATGAATGTTTAAAGTAATACTTGAACATTCATAAATAGAACATACTATAAATTTATTGACTTATTTTATCATTTAGAATATCTATTTATAATCCTATCTGTTGCCGAACATCCTGGCAAGCTCTTTTTTGGAACACATATAGGCCTTTCTTATTTGTACATACATGTATACACAAGAAACTAGATATTTGTCAGTAATTAAGAGTTCACAGCATCATTTTTTAGTAATTTTTAGTAATACTGTAGTAGTATGTTTGGTATCTATAATACCTATACTATTACTATAATAAAAATTATATGGAACATATAGTGACTGTTTAAAAGAAACGATTATTATGTTGCTCCAAACGATACATAATTGTTATCAATTGTCATCAATGTGAGAAATAATTACTTTCTCAAAGCCATCTGATCACGAAGTTCTTTCAGGTCTTTCAGTTGTTGACTCACTCGTGCGCTCTCCACGGCAGCAGTACTCTGAATATCGTTTAAATAAGCTAATCGTTCAGTGAATTGATTGAATATCTCGTCCAGTACTGGTCCTTTTTCATCAAAATTTTTAGTAATTTGATCAGTCTTCACAGTCATAGATTGTTCCTTAGCACTTGATTCATCTTTCAATAAAGCTAGAAATGTATCAGTAACTCGTTCATTAGACACACTCGAAGTGTTTGCAATGCATTCGTCTCTTGCTTTCTTCATATCAATATTGAATCGTTTCGAAGTTGTATTCATTTCAGTTTTTTTACTTTCTACTTTTGTTTGTTTCTTTTGATTTCGATTAGAAATTGAAAAATTTCCATTTTCTCTGGTAACTTGTTGGAAATAATCTTTTAAGGAAATTGCCTAAAAATAAGTAATTAAAAGATTGAAAAAGAATATACTTATATCACTCATTACAATCATTACTATTTACAATCAAGTTTAATCAAATGTTTATATATGTAAAAATAACGTAATATATTACCGAGTCAGTGTTACGTAGAGACTGTTCTAATTGCTTAATCTCGTCATCTTTAGGAGCTAATTCATCATATAACATTCTGTGGAATGAACTATTATGAAAGTTAGGAATAAAGTTAACACGAGCACTTGCATTATGATCATCATCGCAATCGTGTTTTTCATCTTCATGTATTTTCATTTCATCAAAATCTTTTTGTAAAATGCCTGTGGACGCTGCAGTAGCTTGTGTCGCTGCAGTAGCTTGTGACGCTGCAGTAGCTTGTGACGCTGCAGTATCTTTTGATGATTCAATAGCGTAGTAACGAGGAGGACGTAATGGACGTAATGGTGCCTCATGAGTCTGAAATTACAACAGAAAGAATACTTATATAATTATATCAATATAGTATAATCACAACGTATTTATTTAATGTTCAACTATAAAAATAGATTATTTGGAATAGATTATTAGCATATTAATAATATAAATATAAGCATATTAATAATATAATATAAATATTTTTCTTTCTAAATTGTAGATTTTTTTCTTTTCTAAATTGTAAAAAACTTGAACTTCCTCTATCAAGTCGCCGTAAAGATTCATTTGCATTCTATGCACTTCAAACAGGACACTTTAAAACTTAAGTGTAAATTTCACAATTATAGTTGAAGATTAAATACATATATTCAAAGATTGTTATATTAAGTTTGCATGAAATATATTTTACTACGTTCACAGACTCTAAGACTGCACTCATAGAATGAAACCCTTTGAGATTTGCTATACGCATTCGTTCGTTGTCTCTAAATTTCTTTTTCTCTGCTTTTGACAATCCAGACACACATCGAATCACAGGTTTTTTTGCCGAAACTTCCATCGGATCGTAACGCGGAACTTCTGGGTCCTGTCAAACAAAATATACAAGTTATGTAAATCAGTATCAGTTTACATTAGCTAATTGTTACTTATGTTTCACACCTCTTCCCAATTTTCATTTAAGTACACACTACCACCAGCTACAGGAGGATCTGGATCTCTTACTTCAACATTTCCAATATCCATATCTGCCACTCTTCCAATACTAGAACACATTTCAATGTGTTCCTACAAGATTGAATAAAATTGATGTTAATAACAGGAAGAACAGAAAAATCTTTCAAGATATGCAACTTTTAAACATATTACAATAAATTTGAATATATGTACCCTGAGAAAGTTCTGGTCTACAATGTGAGTTTTGTCCAATGGACACTCTACCATATTTTCCTTTTTATTATGTTTCTTGCATTTCGATATATGATTCATAAGTTTATATTTGCGAATACGATGCGCTGGATTGTAGGGACAAGAAACTATGATGTCTGCGTCTGCCATTTTTAGAATTTAATTCTATAAATTATAATATCAATTATTAAAAAGCCATTGTATTTTTTTCGTCATTATCAGTACAATAAAATTTATTGCTAAATATAAGAGAAGAGACAAGAGACCTAGAAGAAACAAAACATTTGAAAAAAAGCTGTGTTATTGACAATTTTGAAGGTAAAATGGCAGAATTCTCAGTCTGTTATTCTTAGATTTGGAACAGTATAGTGGTTATAAAATTATCTATTTCAATAGCAAGTTTTTTATGAAATAATTAAAGCATTCAATATGAATCAGAAAATAAATTGATCCCTTTTCAAAAAAAATTTCACAAACATTTGATGATCAAAGAAGAACATGTATCCTTATTTTTATATATTGCTAATAACAAGCTAAGTTAACATAACAAAATTAGTTTCTTAACCTTCGTCAGCAAGGTGAAAATTTCATCCTTTTTTTGTAATCTGATTTTCGAACTTCAGTATAGAATATTATTCTAGTTTCATATTATTCTAAATTGTATAAAAATCTGAAAAAATTCCTACATACTTGTAAACGCTTTAACGAGTTTTTACTATAATAGAAGTTAAATTTCACTTTTTTTTTATTTTTTACAGATTTAAATTTAACTATCAGAATCCACAATCAAAAAATCAACTGTACTTTTAAAGTCCCGTATTGCCAGTGGAAAGTTAAATAATCAACTAAATAATTATATATTCAAACAATATCTAGTTTTGTCTTCTTTATCAGTAAATCATTACATATTGCAGCTTGTATGAATATGTTCATCTAACAAGAATTTCACGTTTAGTTGCCTAATCATTATGAACCAAACAAAATTTATTTAGTTAATAAAAGAAATGCGTCGTCGAGGTATCGTTCGTCGTACACGCAATAAAGAACTTCCTTCTTTTTTCTTTATATCAAATTTTTTACTTACCAAATCATAACAAAACACCAACACAATTTTTTCTTCTTCTGTCCCTGGATGTCCGATTCTCAATACAATTAAATTTTTCCCTACTAGTTATTAACTCAATTCAAAACATTAATGGCGAATGTTTTCACCTCGATCGATTTCCAATAACAATCAGATAACCAATTAACACGTATCTTTCTACCACTCTAACAAATCAGTGTCCACTTATACCTAATACGTATTTTGGCCTCTTTCGGCAGATTCCACGATATCGTACTGATAAATGATGCTGCTATTAGATGCTATGTGCCATTCTTTGGTGAAAATAGAAGCAATGAAAAATCAAGATTATGATGTGATGTCGCAAGTGTATACAGTAATGCAACTCTCCTGTTGGTCAAAATGGAGTGTGCATGTGAAAAATAAGTAAGTTGCCCCGTCTCTTTTCCTCCTTTTTTATTGTTCTCTTTCTCTTTCTCTCTCTATTTAAATAAACGTTTTAAATAAGCGTCAATGTTCCACTTAAATAATTGTCTTTCAAGCATACATGGTTCAGAGTAGAAATTTAGAGGAAAGTATTATGTGTATTGTCTATTTGACGAAATGTGTGAGAAATCTCGAGAGATTGGTCTAATTTTTGTGAAAAAGTGATAAAATGAAAAAGTGAACAAAAGTAACATAGAAAACCGAGAAAGAGAGATTTCTTTTTATTTATTGTATTTTAAACTTATTTTTTGAATATATATATGTATATAAATTTCTTTTATATCAGCTTTCTCATAATATTTTCATAGATATATATAATTATTTAATATTTCTTTATACAAATATACATTTTTAAGTTAATTTAATATCTTTCCTAATTTTTCTATATTTTTTCTTTATTATTCAATATACAATATTTACAATTTATTTTTATTAATTTTCATAAAGTTTAAATTTCATTGCAATATTAGGTTTATTCGCATGCTCCAATTTCCTACAATAGCACTTACTCACTTCAACGAATTCGTTAGATTGCGATGCGAATAAATCTAGTGAGTTTTGCGAGGAATTTTGACAGAGTGAAAAAAGGATGAAAAGAAAAAGAAGTTTAGGTGGTAACCGTGGCAACGCTAAATAATTTACTAATTTCACGCATGCGCACTCCATTTTGGCCAACACTAAAGGCTTAAACACAATAGCCATCCAATCAGAGCTCTAGGATATAATATCGAACTTACACATCAGAGCTCTGATTGGATGGCTCGTTATTCTCTGTTGCTTATGCCTATTATCTGTGCCTATTGTGTTTACATGATTGGGACTGTGGCTGTGGTCAAAATCTCGTTACAAGTTTGAAGTGTTTGATGGACCAATTAGAAGAAAGAATTTTTACAAACTGACCAATTAAAAAACGCTTTAAAGTGTTTGCAACATCGCGTTGACCTTACCTTATATTAGGTCATCTAAAAAGTATCCGCGGTTTTTTCACTAGATGTGTTGATGGCATATCTAGTGACAAAGTACCGCGGATATTTTTTAGATGACCCAATATACTGTAACTGGAAGCGTGAGAAAAAAGAGGGAAAAAATCAAGATCATTGTGTACAACCAACGGAACGACGAATAGGAACAGGAAATAACAGATTTCAATCTATCCAATAACTTTGTATATCGGAATACAAACCTTTGAACAATCTGGCAACAAGTGACTTCTAGCGGGAAAACTAGTGCAACACTGGCGCAATTGAATGTAAATCGGTTTACATATTTTCAGTATTAATAAATAAGTTAATCCTTTTAAGATTATGAGGTTATCGTTTAATGAGTATTTAATTACACATTCTTTGTTATATAATAACAAAAAATATGTAATTAAATGACTAAATTATTTATTAATATTTAAAAAATGTGGGAATTGATTCGTATTTAATTTATTGTACTCTTGTATGTACCAGTGTTACACTTATACATATATAGTTTCTCCAGGAAAACGCTATTCATATCACTCCATCATTGTTGTTTACGGACGTTAAATAAAAATGACATATAGCGACGGATTAAGCATTTTGTCGCTGCTAAACATCAACATTTAGCCGTCCCTTCATTATAAATAATTTATAAATTTGATTAAAAAAAAATGGATTAAAAAAATACCCCCATGTTAGTCAAAACATTCAATATTTCTTACTAACAATAAAAGTAATATAAATATATTTTTAACTGTATACTTAAAATATCCTTTCTGATAAAATGTACTCAATGTAACTCGTGCAAAAACATTAGATTAACAAATTAAAAATTTATCTCAAATGTGTGAAAATTTTGTCTTGAAAAATTTGCCGCCCCCCCCCCCTCAAATTTGTTATCCTAGGCAAGTGCCTTGTTTGCTTATGCGTTAATTCATCACTGATGACATAACATCCGGGTGGAAATTCGGACTTGTCCCTGCATATTCTAGGGGATTACATCGAAAGTAGTAAGCCGCGAATTTCCAGAGCTAAATTTGTGACATCTGAATAGCACGAAATTTAAATTTATCATACTTATATATATATAAGATTTTTTATCGTCTTATATTTAAGATAATCTTATGACATAAAGCAACTACGGAGACGTATTCTCTTAAGACATTACTTAAGCAATTTTAACATAAGAATTGATTAATATTGTTCAGAAGTATCGAAAAATCTTTTTAAAAAAATAATATAAATTTCGATTTAAAAAATAAAAAAGGACTCAACAATTTTTCGAGAATACAAGGGACATTTCCATTTTTTGTTTCGCTTTTATCTAATTTTTTAAGAAAAAACGAGATAAACATAAAAATTTCATGCGAATAAAATATAAGATATATTATTAACATTTTTCTTTTGTTTCAGATTTTAGATTCACTGAATCAATCGATTATTCACGCAATAAAAAACAATGTCTATTTCTTCATATACACTTCACTCTTTATTTTCATTTGACTATAATAACTTGAACTCTTTATACACTCTCATAGCCTAAGTACATGTAAATATAATAACAGAAATTAACATCATAAAATTCATCATATATTTATAGATTTCGCTACCGTGGAATGATCACGTCTTTGTTAATTTTCGTAATTCCGTTGACATATTCTCAGATAGCGAATGATTTTTGTAAAATCTTATTGGATATTTTTCAATTAAATCGCAAAAAAATACGAGTTTTCACACGATACGCAAAGCGATATTCTGCACGCACAAAATTTGTAAATAAATCATAATAATTATTTCCTACATGAAAAATCGATATTATAATCGAAAATATATCATGAATTATGTCGCTTAATTATTATCCCAAAACCACGAGTTGCAATGAGATATGCTGCGCCATTTGTCGTATGATATAAATCCTTTTCCAAAGTGTGAATTAACTTTTAATATTAGACAACATTAGAAGTCACATCGTGAATGAGAAATGTACCACATGTAACTATGATTTTATTCAATAAGATTTCTTCAGATTTCTTAGATAAAGAGAATTTCATTTTGCACAACAGAGATTTAAAAATTAATGTTTGATGCGCACACACATGTTTGTAAAGAACACGTATCAATCTCGTTTAATTTCTATATTAGAAACAAATGCAGTTTTTACTTTAAAAATTATACAAGAGTAAATTAAGATACTGTATGTAACACGCGATACGTTTATATTTAAGATTCAAGACAAGAGAAGCTATTCGATATTTACAATTTAATTTTGGACTTTGGGTGTAATTTCTTAATAATTTATCATATATATATATATATAAAAATTTCAAAATTTATAGAGCAAACATGTGTCTGAAAAAATTAATTCGTCGGAGCGCTATGCATATATTTATAAATAATGCAAGGCAATAAATATATAATAAACAGATACATACGCTTCGGTAAATAATCCAATACAAATAATTCACGGTCCCTCTGTACTGTCAATATATTAAGATATATTACACAAATTAGCTAACGAAGATTTATCGATATTCGGAAACACACTCCTGCATGAGCTTACACAGATTTATATTAGTGGAAGTCAGAAATCTGATCTACTACTATCGTCGTTCGATTCTTTAAAATATTAAAATTCGATTAAAATTCTTAACGTGCGGCGTAAATTTAGTCGGTCTTCGTATGAACGACCAACGTTTCCCATTTGTTAAGTTCATACAGGAATTCTCACTTGTAAAACGCATTTTTCGTGTAATTATGCGCAAATCGGAAATTCCAGTAGATGATCAGTAATGTCCGTATACGATACATTATCATGGTACATTCTTTCTCCGTAAACGCTGAGGCGTAAAATATAACAAGTAACTTAATGAATGAGGCATTTAAAAGAGTTCTTCAATTTGTCAATTTTCCTTAAGTGGAATACCATGCTGCATCGTATCAATGTACGGATTTAATGTACAATATTGATATCTGTACATAAATAGTTCAAGGAACTTTTTTTACGCAATGTACAAGTGATGTATAGATTCATAAAATATTCCATGTACATCAATTCCAATATATATATATACATATTTTGTGGACTTGTGATGCATATAACATTTTAAAATTTTAGGCACATCGAGCACACAACAATGATATACATACACAATGAGTCTTAGTTATAGGAGCATGATAACTTTATGTGTGTGTGTGTGTGTGTGTGTGTGTGTGTATATATATTTTTCCAATATAATTAATAGTATACAAACTAAACACAGCAGTTTTATGATTTCCTTAAATCATAACACAGCTTGTATATATTATTGTATATATTTATGTAATATATATAATCTAAAAATATTTATATAGATTTGATTACTGCAATGTAGTAACATTAATATACGTTTTTACCGTATTTGACGTTTTGTACTACGAATATATTCGAAAACCGATCATTCTTAAAGTTGTTGAATGAATTCTGTACAACAAATAATAACAATATTCATCGAGAATTAATTATCAAAGATATTCATAACTGTCTTATATATAAAAAATTAAAAATTCCGCAACATCCTTATTACATCAGATTTCATATTTTTATAATTATTGTATCTATATAGGACTCTTTTATATACTTTCATTATATAATTAGTATATCATTATTAGTATATCATATTATTAGTATATGTTTTTAAGTTCACTTGATAGCATTTGAAGTGCATGTGCATGCATTTTATGTATGAATCTTTTAAATAAGGATCTTTATCATTACGCGTTCGCAGATTTAAAAATTAACAATTTCTCGACGCCACTAATAATTTATATTATACAATTTTCTGTATATATTATATACAGAAAATTGTATAATATAAATTATTTTCTGTATATATTTCTGTATATATTACTGTAACAGTATAATCATTGTATATCTATATCATTGTATATCTATATGGTCATGCGTTTTCATCAGTGCAACAAAACAATTAATGTGGCATCAAATTATTGTA